TCTCGGCGGCGTGGCGCTTTTTTTTGCTGCTTGGGCCAGCAAAAAAGTTGAGCCAGCCCTGTCTACAGAGTGCCAGTTTGATCTGGATAGTACTTTCTGTTCCTTGGCACTAAAACATCCAGCCAAGGACCGACAGCTTCAGTGAGCCAGGACTTCCAATGGCATGTTCCATCCAGCCCTAGAGAAAAGGAACCTGAGTTGATAGTAGATGAGGGATGAAATATTATGTCCTCACACTATCTTGGCAGCCCTTCAAAGAAAGACCAACTCCTGTAACCAATGGGTCTCAGCTGGGGGGTTGGAGGGAAAGGCTCTCTACCACCTTCCTTCATCCAACCACCACAGCATTTTGGACTGGCACTTGTTCCATCCAGAAAAAACCCCAAACAATCATCTCTTTTCTCAGCACCCTTGCCAGGATCATGAGGCAGCTAGTTTTAGGGACTGGGACATGGCAGTCATTCCTAGTGGTCAGAGAAGGAGTCATGTACCAGAAAACAGAGCCAGAGGCTAGATACCAAAGCTGAGGGTCAAGCCAGATAAGAACACAAAAAGGCCATACTGGGTCAGACCAAAGGTCCATCTAGCCCAGTATCCTGTCTTCAAACAGTTGCCAATGCCAGTGCCCCAGAGGGAATGAACAGAACAGGTAATCATCAAGTGATCCATCCCCTGTCACCCATTCCCAGCTTCTGGCAAACAGAGGCTAGGGACCCCATCCCTGTCCATCCTGGCTAATAGCCACTGATGGACCTATCCTCCATGAACTTATCTGGTTCTGTTTTGATCCCTGTTATAGACTTGGCCTTCACAACATCCTCTGGCAGGATGACTGGGCAGGTTGACTGGGCAGGTTGGCTGGGCATTGAGTGAAGAAATACTTCCTTTAGTTTGTTTTAAATCTGCTCTTTATTAATTTCATTTGGTGACCCCTAGTTCTTGTGTTATGAGAAGGAGTAAATAACACTTCCTTATTTACTTTCTCCACACCAGTCATGATTTTATAGACCTCTATCATATCCTCCTTAGCTGTCTCTTTTCCAAGCTGAAAAGTCCCAGTCTTATTAATCACTCCTCATATGGCAGCTGTTCCATACCCCTAATCATTTTGTTGCCCTTTTCCAATTCCAATATATCTTTTTTGAGATGAGGCGACCACATCTGCACACAGTATTCAAGATATGGGTTTATATAGAGACAATATGATATTTTGTCTTATTATCTATCCCTTTCTTAATGATTCCCAACATTCTGTTTGCTTTTTTGACTGTCGATGAACACTGAATGGATGTTTTCAGAGAACTATCCACAGTGACTCCAAGATCTCTTTTTTGAGATTCGGAGCCAAAGGTCAAAATCAGAGTCAGAGGCTGAATGCCAGATCTGAAGGTCAGAGTCGGAATCAGAATCAGAGACTCCAGCCAAAGGTCAGAGCCAGAGTCAATGTCGTAGGACAGGGATCAGGAACACAGCAGCAAAGCAGGACTCAGGCAAGAAGGCAGGGTCCAATGTAGCAGTCAGTCAGGGCCTCACCCAGTTGCCTCTTTCTGGCTTAAGTAGTACAGCCAGACCAACTGGTGGGTCCAAGCACTCTCCCAATCAAGACTCCTGGGGGTGGTGCCTCTGGTGGGGCTAGGGTTCCATGAGCCACTCAGCCCAGCAACCTGGCAGAGAGTGGCTGGGATACGTGGGTTGCTTAGAGACCTGTGGGGCCTCACACCTATCTCTGCAGAATTGCCAGGGCAAATTCCTCCCCAGAAGGCTTGACCCAGACAAAGAAATGCTGTCTTTTTCTGCAGAGAGGTTTGAAATGAAATTAACCAACTTCAGCCAGGTGTCTTGCTCCTGCCTAAGAACAGCTGACCTCACCCAATAACTAGTAACCCCAAGCCAGTGCAAAACAGAGAATCAGAGTGGGGCGGTCCGTTCCTTGAGCACTGCAGTGAAGTCAAAGACTACGATAACTGACTTCAGATGGGGGAAAATCCAAAGCTGCCTTGCCCAACAGAGCCAATTACCTGTTCATACAAAACCTAGACAGGCCTCCCTCTCATGGTAAGCCCAGTGAGTTGATCTCTTGCTTTGGTGATAGCAGCAACAATTGTTTGTCCTCTACAAAATCAGTCCCCCTTTCCCTCAATCATTCTCACTCCCACTACAGCCAGATATGGGTCAGTGTATTGCACCAGCCCTGTCTTTGAGTGGCGTAAATGCACGCGGTAGTTAATGGATAAAATAGGCAAAATCTCAGCCAACTAAAAAACAGAGAAAACAGTAAGTGGCCCCATTGCCTGCTCACCACTTGTTCTTTCCCACCACATTTCACTTATTTTTTCCTGCATTCAAACTCACATTTTTGATAAACTCTACACTTTTCCTTATTCTTTAAATAACTGTTGTCTTCAACACCAGAAAGCCTCAGATGTTCTCACAGGCCACCTCTCCAGCACCCACCTGTCATTAAAGAGAAACCTGGACCAGCTTCTGTCAGCTTACGAGTACCCTGAACATGCCTATCATTCAAGTTGTATTTCTCCCTCCTGTCCAACTGATTGTTTTTATATGCTAAAAATATGCATATATACTTAAACATAAAAAGCTTTTGTCTCAAAGTCCCGTAAGTTTATGCCTCGTTTGTTTAACAATGCTAAAGTAAGTTGTAAGATATGAGAAGTTAGGAAACATGATTGTCTACCAATGTTAACTCTTAAGAGTGTACTTGTAAGCTTCCACTCTATTCTTAACTTACTTCATAGTCTATATTGTAGAAACAGCAGTACATATGACTAGTAATGTTATGGACTCAGCTTAGACCTCCCAATAGCTAGAGTAGGCATGATACGGTGAGTTAAAGTTGAAGTAAAGGCCATAACTCTGTTTTCTTTCTTCTGTGGATCTAAATTAAACCCTTTAATTTATTGTAATTTGCTTTATCATCAATGGCACAATGGCCTAAGTTTTAAACCAGACATTTGTTTTCATTTGACATGGAACAATGATAATGCATGAAAGGTACTCGTGTGAACACAATGGTCATATCAGATGTCAATAATCGGGCATTCCATAGTCTTACACAGTTTGGATGTGTAAACAACAGACATTTACATCTGACAGGAAAACACTGAAACACAAATTATTTTAAAGCTTGAATAAACAAAACTTAAGACAAACAAGGTCTGGAACACATGTAGTACTCCTAGAACAAATTGTTTCGAATGTCTGAACATTAAGATGAAATTATTATTTATATTTTTGATGTAAAGTATTAGTATTTTCATTAACACATGCAACTTTCTTCCTTACCTTTAGGGAATCAAAGCAGGCAATAACTCTTCCATTTTCAATCTGGCAACTTTTGGGGGGATGTGCAAATTTGCATTCCTCATCAGAGCGTGAACAAGTTCCTCTCTGAAACTGTCGGCACACTTCTAATGTCAGCCATTTTGTATCTCTTACAGGAGCAACATTCAAAGCCATGATGGAAACTGATTTTTGTTTTGTGAATAACTATTAAGTGAATTATGCCAAGCCAATCTACAACAATTCCAAAAACTATAGTTGAGAGAGAGAGACGCTCTGTACTTTTTTTCTATCGGCAATGAAGCAATAAATTGCTTAATGGAGCCCAATACACACAAAGCAGAATGAGCAAAGACAATTTATCAGCAAGCAGTCACTCATCAATCAATATGTCCCACTTGTAGACTTTTGGCTGCAAAAAAATCATGCTCAGTAGCATCTCTGGCTGTAAAATATCTGAGTCTCTTGATTGGATCGCTGACACAACTGTTTTAAATAAAGTTACTTCAGTGCAATGGCACTCCTTGATATAATATTAATTCTTTGCAGGCTGCTTGCTGGTATTGATTACACAGGAAAAGCAATCCAGTCAGCTTATTCACGTCCTGGCAGTAATTCTTTCTTCAGCTTTTTTAATATGGAAGCCAGTTTCACATCAAGAAATTGGCAAACCAAGACAGTTGAGGTGTCTTCTGTGACATATAAGGTCAGGGCGATGTCTAGCTGGCAGAGATCATATTTTGAAAACACATTCAGGCGTCGCAGTCCTCTCTCGTAAAAGTGACTTCACAAAGGCACTTTTTAATAATTGACCTGACAAAACAAATAAAATATCAGTTTATATTCAACCTTTTAAAAATCAACATTTTGAAAAACAACCACCACATTTTTATCATGGACACTGAAAATGTGCAGTTAATGCAGTAAACTAGTGCAGACTTAAATTAAACAAAATATTAAAAATCAGCCTCTTTCATGAAGTTATTCATGACAAGGGAATAACCAATTGAAACAGGTATTGCAGCAATATTCTAGGCAACAATCCAAAAATTGGGAATGACTCAAACAGATGAATGTAGAAGATACAATAATTAGGCATGCTGCTTCTGAAACAATTCAATCTAATGTGCTTAGATTCCAAAATAATGTATTAGAGCCACCATTTCTAATTAATTTATCAGTTAGTCCTTTAGATTGCATTATTGAGTGTTGTAAACAGCTACTTATTATTTGTTCTGTTTATAAAAAATGAAGATGGTAGAATTTTGTATGAATTTCTTGTCTCTTGGGGAAAAAAGTGGTTTTGTCTTTATAACAGGAAAACCCGTTTCTAACAGAAAGAATGTTAATTGGATTTTTTAAAACTACAGACCATTTCTAAAAGGTTTCATGTAAGGTTGCAGTAAGCTTCTAATTGTTTAAATGTTCTCTAAGCATTTACTTTTATTGTGAACCTAAACTGTTTCTTAATTAAAATGTATTCATGTTTTTTTAATAAAGTATAATTGAAGGCCAAAGAGTTTGACACAAATATACATCACAATACATTACTACAAAAAATAAGCTTTATCTGTAAACAAGATGACTGTAGACATGATTTCTGCTCTAACTGTTCTTTAAAAACATACAAACTTGGTTGAATAATTAAGTGTTTTATGCAGATTCTACCAGAGCAAAGAAGTGATTACTTTTATTGAATAATGAAGCTATTTTGTAAGCTAAGTAGAATCAACAAAGTCATTTCTATTAAAAGTACATTGAGAAAATAATAATCATATTCTATAGTACACAGTTCTATAAGAAGCTCCATCCATGCTTATAGAAAAACTGTATTATATGACAATATTTAATAGTGTATATTATAATGTAATTAAACACAGCATATGTACAAGGGGGTATAGTTAAGGTTACACATGCAAACTTAACTTTGGTATTTCCTGACTTTGAGTGCCTAACCAATATTGACCAACATTTTTAAAAATGTCTAAAGTTTGGCTTCTAAATCCATATTTAGGCAACTAAGTAAGTGTCCTGATTTTCAGAAGTACGGAGCATCCAAGCAGCTCCCACTGACACAGACTCAGGTGGGACTTAGAATGTGGAACAACTTGGTGAGGGGGCATTTAAAAGAGAAACTGTCCTTTGTAAGAAGGGCAGGGGAAGAGTTGTTTGGGAAGCTGGGGGTTGTGGGGGGAGTGAAAGACAGAGGAAGAACAGAGGAAGATTCATAAACTAAAAGATTCCAAGGCCAGAGGACATCATTGTGATCATCTGGTCTGACTTCCTGTATAACACATGCCATAGACTTCCCCCAAATATTCCAGATCTTTTAGAAAAACATCCAATCTTGATTTAAAAATGGTCAGTGATGGAGAATGTACCATAACCCTTGGTAAATTGTTCCAATGGTTAATTACCCTCACTGTCGAAAAAAATACACCTTATTTCCAGTCTAAATTTGTCTAGCTCCAAATTCCAGCCATTAGATCCTGTCATACCTTTCTCTGCTAGATTGAAGAGCCCATTATTAAATATCTGTTCCTCATGTAATCAAGTCACCCTTTAATTTTCTCTTTGTTAAACTAAATAGAACAAGCTGTTTGAGTCTATCACTATAAGGCAGGTTTTCTAATCCTTTAATCATTGTTGTGGCTCTTCTCTGAACCCTCTGCAATATATCAGCATTCTTCTTGAACTGTGGCACCAGAACTGGACATACTATTCCAGCAGCAGTCGCACCAGCACCACATACAGAGGTAAAATAAACTCTCTACTCCTACTCAAGATTCACTTATTTACGTATCCTAGGATCATATTAACTCTTTTGGTCACAGCATCACACTGGGAGCTCATGTTCAGCTGATTAATCACCTCAACTGCCAAATCTCTTTCAGAGTCAGTGCTTCTCAGAAGAGAGTTCCCCATTCTGTAAGTATGCCTACATTCTTTGTTCCCAGATGTATACATTTACACTTAGCTATATTAAAATGCTTATTGTTTGCTTGTGCTATTTACCAAGCGATCCAGATCTCTCTGAATCAGTGATCTGTATTCCTTCATTATTTACCACTTCTCCAATTTTTGTGTCATCTTCAAACTTTATCAGTGATCATTTTATGTTTTCTTTCAGGTCACTGATAACAATTTTAAAAAGCATAGGGCCAAGAACAGATCCCCATGGAACCCCACTGGAAACACACCCATTTCATGATGATTCCTCATTTATAATTACTTTTGAAGACCTATCAGTTAAGTCAGCTTTTAATCCATTTAATGTGTGCCACGTTAACATTACATCATTCTAGATTTTTAATCAAACTGTCATGTGGTACCAAGTTAAATGCCTTACAGAAGTCTAAGTATATTTCACCAACATTATTAGCTTCATCAACCAAACTTGTAAACTTTAAAAAAGACATTAAGTTAGTTTGACAGGATGTATTTTCCATAAACCCAGGTTGATTGCATTACTTATATCACCCTTCTTTAATTCAGTCTCACTATTATCTTGCTCGGGATTTATGTCAGTCTGACGGGCCTATAATTGCACCTGTAATCCGGTTTACCCTTTTAAAATAGTGGCATAACATTAGCTTTCTTATCGTCTTCTGGAAATTTCCCAGTGCTCCAAAACTTATTAAAAATCAGCTTTAATGGTCCACCAAGCTTCTCAGCCAACTCTTTTAAAAAACTCTTGGATACAAGTTATCAGGATCTGCTGATTTTAAAATGCCTAACTTTAGTAGCTGCTATTTTACCATTCTCCTGAGATGCTGATGGAGATGTTATAATATATGACATGAGTGTTATAATATATGACATGACTAGGTCATCTGTTTTCTTCCCCAAATACAAAACAAAAATATGTATTGAACAATTCTGCCACTTGTGCATTATTTTTGATAATGCTACCATTTTCACATATTAATGAACTAACACCATTGTTAAGATTCTTTATGTTCCTAATATACTTAATTCTGCTGGCCATAGAGTTCTCCTTGTGTGTCTATGCTTCCCTTATCAATTTTCTATAATTCATACATTCTGATTTATATTCATAACTCTAAACTTCCCATTTCTTCCATCTGTTAGACATTTAACATTTATTTATTTATTTTACAGCTGCCTTCACTTCCCTCTAAATCAGGTCAGTTTTTTAATCAGTATGGTCTTCTTCCTTGATTGTGGCTTTTTGAGTATCTAATTAAGCAGGGATCGGCAACCTTTGGCATGTGGCTCGCCAGGGTAAGCCCCCTGGCGGGCTGTGCCGGTTTGTTTACCTGCCACGTCCGCAGGTTCGGCCGATCGCGGCTCCCACTGGCCGCGGTTCGCCGCTCCAGGCCAATGGGGGCGGTGGGAAGCGGCGGCCAGCACATCCCTCAGCCCGTGCTGCTATTGTAGCACCATTTTGCTCAGTTGTAAATGACTACCAAGGTACAAGGTAGTTGTGACTCAAGCCCTACAGTTGACATTTGGTATGGATCAGTTTAGGTGTGGTTATAATACTGAGGGCTGGGTGGGATAGAAATAACTAATGCTTTTTTATTTCTTAGTTCTCTAAGTATAACTGGAAAATTGTTTTAATTTTGAAACCACTGTTTCCTTTGATGACCTGTGTTGGGACTATAAGATCCTCCTGTGCTGGGGGCTATTAATTGTGCATATAAGTTTGAAGGATCAGGTCCTTAGTTCACAACCAGGCCAATAGAATGTACTCATGACCACCGCTACTGAAGCACAAGCACAGCATATCTATGAAGCCTCAGCTTTTTCGTTACCCAGGCTGTCACTTTGATACAGCAAAGCTGTTGGGCCAAAGGAGCTCATATTTTATATTTAGCTTGACAGTGTAAATAGCGAAGTGCTTAAAAAAGCCTGTACATTCCAGCTAAGAGCTCTACCAAGGCCTGTTAATCTACAAGTGTAAGGCCTGATCCTGTCATATGCTGAATACCTGCAACTCATTGAGTTTAGTAGCTCAGCTCTTCTCATAGTTGGAACTTTTGGGGGGTTACTAATTAAACATCTCTGCTTTTTTTATTTAAACAGTTTATTTTATTTATTTAAAAGATAAAGGGAAAATTCTAAATTAAATACATCATCAAAAAGCAATAATATAATACCTACCTTGAGGAGGGAGGGAAGGTCTTGAGGTTTAAAACATAACACTGGGGAGTCAAAATATCTGGGATCTAGTCCAAGCTCTACCACAGCATTTATCTCCTCTGTGCCTTGGTTTTTCCATCTGCCTAATGGGGATAACATTCCAAGGGGTGGCACGAGGCTAAATTATTTAGTGTCTACAAATTAACTTTCATGGGTTTATTTCATTACTCTGTGGCAACCTATGTTCATGGGCATATTTTGGTTGTATGGCATATTTCAATCCCACAAAACCCAAAGGCATGAGATGGACCTAAAATGAAGTAAACGACAATAAAAGTGGGATGAACCTTGAAATAACGTGGATTCCTTATCTTTATCATGTCTAAAGTTTTCTGCAACTTCACTGCCAAGATTTCCTATTTTGAATGTCAATGAATGGGTATTATTGTTTATTTAACATTTATATTATGGTGTGTGTGGGTGTGTGTTACAAGTAGAGGATACAGTGATTGTAATAGAAATTGCAGGCAGTGAAGTAATTTTGCCCACAAAGTTGGGAAGAAACAAAGAGCCTCCCCTACAAAACCACAGTGTCCCAGCCCCATGGAGTTCTCTATTGGTGATTATTGTACTACTTTGGTTAGCTTCCTTCCTGTGTCTGGCTACTCGAGGTCGCCTGTGGGCACTGCAGCTGGGGAATAGCCAGA